GAAGTTAGTTTTCTTTTTATTTCTCTACAGCTAGCACTCTGTATGGACCTCTTCACACCAAGCAAGCTGTTCAGCAGTACCTGGCTGCCATAGAGCAGGCCAAGCAGCAAGGTGGCACTCTTATGTGTGGAGGAAAGGTACAGTGCTGCAGTTTAAACAGAGTCCCATACATGACTGCACGTGAGACAAAAAATTGGCACCCCTGGTCAAAGTACATGTTTTGCTGAGCTTAAGTACACATTTTCTGCAGAGAACACATTTTAATGCACAACTACTGTTTATTTGCTGAATTTAACAAAGTGGGGAGAATTCCCTCCATATGTTAACATGGCAAATAAATACAAATTGTGCACTAAAATTTACAGCAAAGTGCCATAATTAAATTTGATCCTTGTAGTTATTTTCACTTAGAAAATCAACAAAACATGTAATTTAACCAGGGTATTCAGACATGTATATGTGACTATCTGCAACTCTGGAGAGCCTCCCTGCTCCAGAATTTAATTCTCACTCTGATCTTGCTTACTACACATATTGATTTACTACTCAGATATTTCGGAAGACAGCTGTGACAGATTTTTGGGGAGTTGAATACTAACTGTATGGAAAGAGTTGATTTAGGCTGCACAATATGGACACAATTATACTGCGAGTATATTGCATGCATTTGTGATTTGCCTTGCAATATCAGTATCGGGTGAACTCTTGGTGTGAAAAATCGGCCTGCGTTATTTTGACAAGTTATGTTTGTTGAATCGTTGTAATTCGTCAAAACACCCACAAAACACTTAACTAAAATATCATCACAGCACTAAAAACATGATTTATCAAAGCGCTTTGTTTGCATATTGCAGTCTTCTGCATCATCAGTATTGCAAAAGCCAATATTGAAATAACCATTGTGATAAAATATACTGTGCCCTAAACTGACCCAATATACATAATCCTTTATTATTGTTTTGTGAACATATTGTATAATATTGTGCATACAGGAATAGAAGTTCATTAAAGAAATAAATTCTGAGCCTCAACTTCCTGGTCAGGTAATGGATCGCCCTGGTAACTATGTGGAGCCCACCATCTTCACTGGACTGGCACACGACGCGCCCATTGTCCACACAGAGACTTTCGTGCCCATTCTCTACGTGATCAAATTCAAGGTAGGTGTTTTTCCCCTTTCCCTCACAAGCATGTGGGGTTTCAGGTCTAATTGCTTAAGATGGGCATTTTCCTTCTTTTATCCTCAGACAGAGGAGGAGGCATTTGCCTGGAATAACGAAGTCAAGCAGGGCCTTTCCAGCAGCATCTTCACAAAGGACATGGGCAGAGTGTTCCGCTGGCTAGGGTAAGAGTGCAGCTAATGCTGCCGGTGATTATTTGCATGCACACTAGTAGTTCAATTTTAGTCTAAGTGCTTGTTTAAGATATGATCATGTAAACAGTATGGTCTAATTGTTATGGACTGACTGAGCTCTTAGACGACCTATGCGCTATAAAAAATGTGGCCCAGGCTGGTTTTGGCTGGACTATTTGAGATGGTTTTAGATATGTAAATACTGACACCAAAACAAACACGCATGCCGTTAAGGGGCATTTCACCTTATTCAGACTATGCTGGCATGCATGTAAAATGGACTAGTGTTTATTTTTATTTATTTATTAATTCATTTATTCATTCATTCATACTTACGTACAATTCATGTAAATGTGATTTGGTCCAATTTTTAGGCTGACTGAGAACTTAATTGAGCTACTGTGTAAATGTAAATAATGAAGCAGCCCAATGCAAAAGAATCAGAGAGAATTAAGTTCTTGTTCATTTGGAATACAGATTTGTTGAATATGTTCCTGTAATAATGTTGGGGACAGAGATGGTCTCAATTAAATGTAGGGCAATGACGTATTATTAAGTATAACTTGAAAAAAATCTGTTTTGTTATCCTAATGATGTAAGATTTTTCTCATAATCGTTACATCTTGCAGGCTTACAACACACTGAAACTGATATAAAGTTCTGTATCACTAGAAATGATAAGTGACACTTCTGAAGTCTATTCTATGTATTATTGTAAATGACCCTCTACTTCCACCAGGAGGAGCTGCAGCAGAATAGAAAATGCCTTCGTATTTAGTCGTGGTGATGCTGGTTGCTTTTAAAAGTCCACCTGAATTCACAATATACCTTTTGTGACCTTTTGTGCCTGCTTAGTTCATATCCCTTTTCATATTAAGCAAAATTTTATATCATTCAAAAGACAAAATTCTTGTTTTTCTGTGATCTCCCATCAAAATGTAGCAACCTTTGCCTGCCTTAAACATCTTTTTTGAGAAAATATTATACAGTAGGATCACGTTTCACCCCCCCCGCCACCACCCCCACTGAGATCGAGAATTATCAAGAGATGATTTGTTATCACAAGTTGAGAATATTGAAGCTTTGTTTCTTTTTAGACCCAAAGGCTCTGACTGTGGCATCGTTAATGTCAACATTCCAACCAGTGGAGCAGAGATTGGAGGAGCTTTTGGTGGGTAACATACAGAGCTCTTCAAATCCAGACCTTGATTCCAGTTTGTGATCCAGGATTTTGCAACTATTGGTAAAAACAAAACTTTTAACGTGCAGGAGGGGAAAAGCACACAGGAGGTGGACGTGAGTCAGGCAGCGACTCATGGAAGCAGTACATGAGGAGGTCCACATGGTGAGTGTACAAACTTTATCAGTGATACCTGCTTAAATTTAAACAATACCAGAAATTCATATTTATCAGGGGCATTTTTTCCCTGAATTTGATATTCAGGGGCAATTCTGAGCTCATTGAGGGTTTTTTCTGCACACAATAGGTCACATTTATCAAATGGGCTTTATTATTTACTCAGTATTTTTATTTATTTATGGGGAATTTCTATAACTATTTGGGGTGTTTTTGCTGTGAGCTCTGGTTAATAGCTGACCCTGATTTTATGTTGCTGCTCACAAAACCCTTTATGCCGTCATGTATTATTCATAGACGCTGCGTATTGAGGTCTAAACATATTGACCTAGTTTGAGCTTGAATTCATTTTTATGGTTAAATAAAAAAAACTTTTTTTTTTTCCTTTCACACAGCACCATCAACTACAGCAAGGACCTCCCACTGGCTCAAGGAATCAAGTTTGAGTGAACTGTGGCTAAAGAACGACTGTTACCTGAACAGGACTTTGATAAAGGAACAAAACACTAACAGTTTTAGCTTTGCTTTTTCACTAATCCAGATTTTATTCCAGAACTCTCATCAGTAAATAAATAAGCAGTTAGTCTCAAGTATCCAGTTAAATTGGTCAGTTTGATTAGCCTGTTTTCAGCTTGTTGCTTAAACAGTTAAAGGTTTATTTGTTGTATAGAAAAGCCCATGTTATACAAAAGGTTTAAAAAAAAAAAAACTGGCCAGTCTAGTATTGTGAACTATTTTCTAAGCACTTATCATTCAGTGGTACCTTGAGATAGCAGGTGCTCTTTTCAAATAAATCATGCCTTTATTTTTGAAGGACATTTCTGATGGAAGTTATTTGGTTATTTCTGTGTTGCTAATTGTGTTTTTATAATTCTTTTTATATATATATATATATATATATATTCTGAATGCATCCAATATTTAGCAGGTAAAACCATGCAAGACCTGCCATCCAAAGTCTGTGTTCATTAATGCAGATAAAACGTTATGTAAATATAGCACAGTGTTACATTTTGAGTTAAAACATTTAAAAAAAAATGTTTTGTGACCAGGCATCATATCTTGAGAAAATCTTACGTCCCGGATGCTTGCAAAACACTGAAATTGGGGGTTAAATTTCTACATCACCAGAAATGATGTAGCATGCCATAAAAAGTCTCTTCCCCCAGCAGGGAAAGCTGCAGCCTTCAGCTGTGATGTTGCTGGTAACTTCGTAAGGCCAACCTTAAATCAAAATGGACTTTATTTATTTTATATCTGGTTAGTTCATATCTGTGTTCATATAAGGCACAGTTCATCATATCGTATTTAAAAGACAAAAGTCTAGTTTTCCCATAGTTTGTCATTGAAGTCGACCTTGAAAGCATGTTGTGTTTTTTGATTATCCTCATGAACAGCTGGTGCATAAAAATAATGTTAACCAGTAATGTTTTACCTTTTTCACACCTCCACCTGGCATTGAGCAAAAACACTCAGCTAGTGTCATGTTTCACTTGAAAATACAAGGTATGGAAAGAAGGAAGAATTTTCAATTCGTTCAACTTAAAGCACTTATTTTATATTTGAATCATCATTGTCAAATACGGCCTAATTCTCTTTGTAAACATATGTATTTAAAGAAACTACTTATTCAGTTTCAGAGGACGAAGTAGTCAGAGGTATATTTTCAAATAATTTACTAACTAGGATTCTTTCTTTAGATACTTGTGCAGGATTAGAATATACCGCTGAAGCTGAAGACACTGTGGCATTTTAATAGGCTGAGTATATTGCACTCAACCTGGCTTCTCCGGCTCCACGCAGGGCCCTCAGGGAAAAGGGTACGGCATGGGTACATTTTGTTCACCAATGTACGAATAATGTAAACGTATCCTCAAAGGTACAAGCATAGTCTTAAATTCTTAACTGTACCTTGAGTGAGTTTTAAAGGTACATCACATCCACTTTCCCAAAGGAAACGTGCATAGTTGTACATTTCCAAAACTTGTTTAAATAGACAAAAATCCTGGAGTTGAGCATGTATGGAATCAACGCAACCTAAAAAGGAATTGCGACAGAATATAGTGCGATTAAGTTTCCTTGTTAAAGGCACTGAAAATTCTAAGTGTAGCTGCTCAAACTGAAATTTAGCAGAGTATGATATAATTATTGAAACGCTTATTCTGTACTGGTAACAAGTGTATTACAGTAACTGCAGAGGAATGATATGCAGTTTACATTTGCAACTAAATAGTTTAGCTACCCTGCATATAGATGAGCTTTCAGTCACAAACCATATCACACACACACTGAATCACACTATAAATATTTTATTGGCAATTCTAAATTGTAACAAATGACCATAGGGAGCAGAATTTAGTAATCTGACCTCTGAAATGTTACAAAAACCCGAGTCCTTGGGACCCATTTACAACCATCTTCTCATTTTTTCTACAGTACTAGGATTAAAGCTTACTTTTTTCCCTTTCTCTAACTACTTTGGAGAAAATCCCTTGATTCAGGTAAAAACAGCTCGGTAGTCCTGAGTAGAGAAAGTGTGATACTATTGCACAGTTATTAATCCTCTTCTTCAAAAATGAGACTTTGAAGCGTTTTAACGAAGACGCAGCTTCCACTCGACCAGTCAGCTCTCCTCAAGCAGCTTCCGCAGGTTCCTTTGAATCTGGATATTAAAAAAGATTGTAGGAAATGAAGCCAGTGCTACAGTAATGATTATACTTCAGTACAGTAACAGGTAATTTCATTGCTTTTTCATTGCTTTTCATATTTAACAGAAAATAAAGAGTTTGCGAAAACGAAACACATTTTTTCCAGTATTTACTATGTCCACCCTTTATTACAGCTTCCATTCTTTTCAGGAGACTTGCTCTCAGTTCTTCAAAGAAATCTGCAGGGATATTTTTCCACACCCTGAAAATTCATTTTTTGAATTTGGTTGCATTTTCAGCTTCACAATCCAAGTAATCCCAACACATTTAATGATGTTGAGGTCTGGAATTCTTGTTAGTTCATGTATTAGTGATTTTCTTAAATATGAAGTTATGTTTGTGCATGCGTTGCTGACATTCAGATCTGGTCTGATGAACTGTAATACTTTTCAATCTAATACATTAATTAGATGATTTAACTCTGACTAAAAGCCACTACAATAGCAGCCTTGACTTTCTGTTAGCGAGGTACATGTACATGTGACAGGATAATACGGCACTTTCTTTCTCTCCTTCACCCAAACACACCCAGCACCTGCATACACACCACTGACAATGACATAAACAGCATGTCCTACATGCATGTGACAGGAGGAATACCACAAACAAACAGAAAAACAAGTTTGTCTTACAGCTATTACTCAACAGAGAGATGAGTAATTATTTAGTAGTGAAACCCATCAAGTTGTTGCTCAAACACTAAAGCCAACATCTAAACGGGTCTAGAGGCTTCACTCACCTTTTCTAGCTTGAACAGGTTTGTGGACAGCTCTCCATAGATCTCTGCATTGATCTCTGCTTGGGGTCGATGATGAATAGCATTCCTGATAGGGAAACGTTTTGAATGTTTAACATGTCACTTTTGAGGTGAAGAAATATTTAACAATGGAAGGAAACCTGTGCTCTGAACAGTCCATAAACATAGCTATATAGAGCAGAAAATGTCAAGATCAAAGTGTATTGAAAGTCAAGAAGATCACCCTGAATCAAAACACGTTATGCATAATAAAAGTATATTTAGAAGTAACTTGCTGTGCTTTTTCCGTGCATTGTCTGACTGACTGCATGTGTCCAGTCACTCTGAACCTACAGTATAAATGAATGATGGCCTACAATTAAAAAACTAAACAAAATTCTCACAGTAGGGCTGTTATGACCATATACAATTACTTAATTACTTGATCTAAATTTGATTACTTTTTTAAATGATCTTACAATAAGAAAAGAAACTGACAGACGCTATTGTTTACATGCATTATTGTTTGCAAATACAGCACATACTTTTAATTAAGTCTTTTAAAAGTTTCATAGCTCATTTCTTTCAGTCATATTCAGTCTGTTATCAAACTGTTCATTGGTTTGGCCTTAAAAACACCAATTATTTCAATAATCATCAAAATAATTGGTAACATGTATAATTACAAGTACAGTATAATCGATAAAGGCAGCCCTTCTTCACAGCAGTGGAAAACAAATTCTGAATTAACGACTCACTCATTGTGTGAATATTCTCCCACCGAACCCAGTGAATTCAGCTTTTGCTCAAGAGCCAGGATCTTGAAAGCCATGTAACATGAGGACAAGACAAGAATCCCCACCCTGCAAAAACACAATACCTCCATTTAACCGAACGAAAAACGCCTTTCAAACAGCAACTACATGACTAAAATAATAGCCCACGACTTGTTATAACATGCAAGAGCTGCAGAGCAGGTCAATCGTATTACTTCATTAAACGGCACACATTAACAGTACTCACAAGAACAGGTAGATGAGTAGGAGAGTGTTGAGAGACAGTGGCTGCAGTACCTTCTCTTGCTGAGCAACACCTGACACAGCCTTACCTGGACCTGAGGCAAAGAGATAATGGTGGTTAACGGCTTGATCCAGACTGAGTGAGAAATTTTAGAGAGTGTACTTTCATCCAAAAATTACCATTCAGATGCTTTGTACTGGAGGCCTGCAGGTGAATGTCTGCATGGACTGCCATCTCTCCAGTCTTCATTACATCCAGGAAGTTCTCAGAGAGAGGAGAATACTCTGTTTTAATGGCAAGAAAGGAAAAGATGTTGGTTAATATTACAGGTCCCAAATCAACCAGGGCACCACTGTTAAGCAATGATTTTAGCATGTACACTCTTAGGAGGTAGAAATAAAATCCTTAGATAAAATACATCATTATTTAAGCACCAAACTGCCCCAGTATAAAATGAGGGTGAATAATATAAAATGATAAAGTGACCATAAACCAGTTACAGTTGTATGCAATAGTTTTAAATATTATATACATATATACATACATACATACATATATACATACATACATACATATATATATATATATTAAAATATTTTCCTTCAAATTTTAATTGCTATTTCTATTTATTTGCTCACTTCAACACAGAGAAAAAATAAAACAATATAAGATGTGCCATAACTTTTGCAAAGCTCAGCTTTTATGTTTACTTTTTTTCAAATATGTTAAATTAACAACAAATAAACAGTAATGGTGTATTAACATGTGCAGAAGTGTGTTCCCTGTAGAGGATGTCTTAATTTGTTTTCACTTAAAAAAATAAATAAATTAAAAAAAAATCAACAAAACATCATTTGACCATGGGCACACAAACTTTTGCATACAACTGTATTAAAGTTCTATGTCTAAGGCAAAGCAGGACTAGTACACGAAGGTCCTATTCGTGAAGGATTGTAGTGACTTAAAGTCTTGAAGGACAGACCAATTGAGTCCACCAATTAAAGGACACATTTCTTAGTTGCTTTTTGAGGATCCTACAAAACAGGGCAGCCTTCAGTGATGTAGCGGCCAAAAAACTCAGTCTTCCTAGACTGCATCCTCAGCTTTAAAACATGTCTAATCTGAGAGTGGCCTGTTACCATTAGTCTCATCAAATTTTGCATTAATGCAGAATGCATGTTAAGTGCACAGACACTGAGGACACCCACCGGTCATCTTCTCAAAGTCAGGAGTTTGTGAGCCTGAGCTGCTGCTCTCCAGCATGTCCTGTCTCCTCTGACGCACTACTCCGTCAAGATCAGAGAAATCAGCTGAAAAGTCCTGAAAAGTAGCCAACAATAAGCTTTAAGTTTACACAATGTTTACAAAATATAAAGCATAGAGTCATATGTAAAAGTTTGGGCAGCCCTGGCCCCCCTTTTGTGATTTTCTACTTATTTTTTTACTTTAAAAAAAAAATCAACATAACATGTAATTTGACTGGGGCTGTACATACTTTTGCCTACAATTGTATACTAGGAGATTATATATGGTCAATAAATGCCATTGCAGTTGAAGTTATGGCATTGTTAATCTGCACATGAGCAGACATGCATGCAACAGGGGAAACTAGCTAACCAATGGAAGTGATGACGGACAGTCCCCTCTGAAGCTGTTCTCTGCTGATGATGTGATTGGGGTGCTTCCTGCATTTTCCCTCTGAAATGAATAGAAGAACTTTTTGTTACAGGCTGACACACCATAAAAAGTATTAGAATAACTTTCAAATGCCATGAACTTACATCTAAATGACTGCAGACTGATATTAGGAACTTGTATGTGGTGTCCCGAGAAAGGAACGATACAAACACATGCTGAAAAAAAAAGGAAATAAAATGCAAATAAGTTGAGCCCTTTCAATTCTCAAAAACGAAGGATGCATTTTCCATAACATATTCTGTTATCATTACTGTTGTAACAAAACCGTTTAGGTTTTAAATGAAAACTTCATAGGAAAATAGTTCTTAACTTTTATGTACGTCAATATAACAAGATTTAATTCTGTGTGATTATGGCTAATTTCTATAGGGCAGCTAATGCCAACTGCCCTTCACAAATGAAGCATTTTGATACAATACAGTACACTTACCCTCTCATTTGTTGTAGTGATAACAAGTGCATTTGGCACCAAAAGGGCAGTTTTTGTCTTCTTTATAAGAGTGACAGAGAGAACCGGGATAACAATCTGTGGCAGAGAAACAAACTGAAATTTTCCATTGGTTTAAACCTAATCAACTGGAACGGAGGTGTATTAACTCACGATTTATACCTTAGTATCTCTGCCAAACACTTTGGAATGGAAACAAATCCAGTTATCAGAGACAAAGAGCCTGCCCTGATAAAGCATGTCTTTCTGTAAGGCACAGGTATAACCTGAGGACAGACAGAAGCCGTTAGATAAGATAGAGCCAAGAAGAGAAATTCATTTGACCTCAGATATCAGTTCACTGATATGATTCAACTGAAATAATCCTTTACAAAGACTGTTTGACTTAAGAGTTAAAGAGTCTGAATTAGTTAGTTAAACATCCTCATGAGATTAACCAACAATATACAGAATTAATAACATGCTGACTTACTTTGTTTGAGTATCTCATCTTTGCTTATTTCTTTGAAGAGCTTATGATACTGGGCATTTGCTTTGGAAAACTAGAAAAAAAAAAAAGAATGTTTAGCTTTTACCACATAAAAACATTCTACAGCCTCCATACACAGTTATATCCAAAAGTTTGAACACTCCTGGTCAAATGACACATTTTGTTGATTTTCTAAGCGAAAATAAGTTTAACATTCTTTAGGAAAAAAATAAAACATAAAATGTAAAACGTGCCACAGCTTTTGCACAGGCCACTTATTTCTTTTCTAATATGTGGCACTGAGCAAATAAACAGTAGTTGTTCATTAAAGTGTCCAGAAGTGTGTCCTCTGTAGAAGATATGTTAACTTATTTTCACTTAGCAAGTATGAAACAAGAAATCTGAGTGAGGCATTTGTCTATCATTGATGGAGAAAACAGGACAAACATTAGACATAAACATAATTTTTTTGTCACTGGCATGCAAGTAAGTCAAGATTTTACTAGATCCATCCAGCATGTGTGTTCATACCTGGCTGTACCTCGCTGACTTCCTCTCCAACTTTGACTCAGAGTCTGTTGGGCTTTGTGAGAGTGAAGCCTGGTCAACTGGTTTAAACCTTCAAAAACCAAGGAAGTTAAGGTTAACCACAGAGCTTCCAAATGTATTACTTTCATAGGACCATCAAAGGGAGCAAAATCTCACATCTTTGAACCCTTTAATAACCCTATACTAATCTCTTTAATAGCTTCTTTAATAGATTTACATTGAGTGATGCCACCCATATAGAAAACTCATTTTTTCGTGTTAGAAAAAAAAACTATTTTTAATCACAAAATGACAGCAAAGCCTCCAAGACTAAGTATATCAAATCTATCCACATTTAATGTGTCTAATCTTTACTTTTGTGCACCAACTGCCACTTTAACTTTTACATCCTTCCAATCTTCAGACTAACAAGTTAAAGCTGTGTCCTACCAACAAAAGCTGTTTCCAAAGGAGTCGCACTGTGCTCCCCTTTACACTCAAACATGCAACTACCCAAACACACCTTATCTGCCTTGCAAATTTCTTTATGTGCATCTAAAATGCAGATCGCTAAAGGAGATATTTTTGATGAGATGAGGATTTAAGATAATCCACTTACATAACACTGTTGTTAGAAAAAACCTTGTATCCCCAAAATGGAAACTTTACAGGAGAAGGAAAAAACAGACTTTACTTTTAATGTAAGTCAATGGAACCAGACTGACATTATTTGGTGGCTGACTTCTATGACTGAACTTCGGAGGTGTAGAAAAGCATCTCAGCTGCTTTCTTTGAAAAACTGAAAAGAGCAGAAACTATAATAAAGGCAAAGTGTGGACACACTAACACTGAAAAACTAGACAGATTTAGTTGTTCTGAGTAAACTTCTGTTAAATATATGTTTACTGCTTTTTTCCCTGATGCTAAAAAATAAATGACTTGTATAACTAAATGAAAAAAATACTGATTACTCTGATGATTATTCAAGTAATCAAGGGTTTAAAAAAAGGATACATGACAAAAATAGACTTAAATGAACAATAATTAACCATGCATGTTAGTTTGTCAGCTGTTCTGTTCACAGACAGAACCTTCTCAACCTGCATTTAACCGTTTTCTCTGAATCTTTTAGTGAGCATGAGCAGAAGAAGAATAAAACCCTCATTACTTTCATTTGATCTGAGTTCAGTCAAGGCTACGCTTTGAGGCAAAGCGGCGAGCATTAATGGCAGGCCGTATCGTAAACATAAAAGAGACACACTGACAGATCTCTCAAGCGTCACACACAAAGGCTTGTGTGCTGTTACACAAAAGTGTGTTTACACAGCGGTGGGGTTTGCAAACATGATGCTGACGTATGCTAGCATGGACTATGTTTAATAAGACTTGCCACTCTCCATACAATTAGCGACAGCCTTGTTCATTTCACTGTTACACAGCAGTAGGCAGTAGGACGTTATCATAATTATTAGAATTTGTCACAGTGCATTTTCCTGAGTAAATCATTGGTTTTATCGGCGATTCTAGAACACTTAACAAGTGTAAGTACCATAAAATTCACTTAGACCAACTACAGAAAACCAGTTAGTTGTAGTAACAATGGTTTGTTATTTCCTTTCCTTTATAAAAATATTATTTTTGGCAAATGTTGACCCAAAAAAAGAAATGTCTGTATATTTATTTGTATTTAAATATCAGGATACTGTGGCATCAGAGCAGGATTTGGCTCCCATGATGCTTTGCTCATGCTTAGCTGGACTGTATTCAGTTCACAAAAACATACATACATACATACATCATCTAAACCGCTTATCCTTCTGGGTCACGGTGGGGTGCTGGAGCCTATCCCAGCTGTCATTGGGCGGAAGGCAGGATACACCCTGGACAGTATGTGACGTTGATGTTTAGAGGTAATGTGAACTCTGGAGCAGTTTGGCTGGGTAGTCTGTTTGTGAGTGTGACTATCACTACTATCATCCAGATTTGGGTCCTGATTCATTACCCCTGACGGGACTCTGCTGCAGACTCTAGCTGAGATGCCGGTTTAAAGAACATATTTTCCTTATAGAAATAAGAGTGATTTCCTCTGTTGTACTCTGGTTGCTGTGTCAATTTCAATAAAACTACATTATAGGCACAAATCTTCTTCTGCGTCCCCCACGCTACAATACACATCATACACGATGTGTAAATATCTTTAGATATTGCAATGATACATTTTTGCCATATTACCCACCTACTACTCTGTTAAAAAGGTCATTTTAATTAAAAAAATAAGCCTCTGCCTTTAAATTAACTTAAATAGTAAGTTAACAAGACAATAATCTGTTTTATGTTCTGCTGACTCAAAAAATCAACATTTTGAGGCAGGTAGGTTACTTTTAAAGTGTAAACATTTAACAGTGTACAGTGTAATACACTTGATATACAGTCTGTCTACTCAAATGCTTTGTGAGCAAAAAGTATGACCCTCACCTCATGAGGGACGGTTTTTTCCTGCTCTCTGAGAGGTCAGACTCAGTGTCCACGGACAACTGGGAATCAAACCCTGACTTCCCAGCTCTTCTCTGCCTCTCTTCTCCATTCTCCGCCTCAGGACTATGGATGTGAGGCAGTTCCACAACAGCAAACCTATGAATTAGATTGTTAGACTGAGGCACATTTCAAATGAAATCAGACACCTTAATGACGTTTCTGCCAGCCTCAGCACAAAGCAACACGAGTGACGTTATGCTGTTATTTCCATAGAGATACAGTTTCAGCTTTTGGTGGAAATGGAAGCTACTAGTGAGGAAAATTCCTACGTGTCCAACCCATTAAAGCTAAAGCGACACATCTGTTAACGAAAACAGATGCAAATATGAGCTGACAGGGCCGAGCAACGAAAGCGAGGAGACGAAAATTTGCAAGTCAATTAAAGAGACACACCGTGTGTGGACAACCTGAGGGCATAATGTTCAGGTTTTATGTTTGTTTAGAGATTTAAGCAGTAATAAGAAGACGGCTGAGGTCCTGATAACACTGATAATAGCCTAAACAGCCTACACGTAGCGGGTTAACAGTTACTGACCACCCCTAGAAGTTCCACTCCATAAAAGGCTGTAAACTTAGTCAGCTGAGAAAATAAGATAGTCGCACTTTTTAGGGGGGCTTTAAAGAAAACTCGATAGGTTACTAACTACAGGTTCGATCTAGCTGGCTGTTTTACAGGACATACTGTGCTACAGACGTTAGAAACTGCTCTTAACACGACGACAGACGAACTTAAACGGTTTCTGTGACAACAAATGAACTTCGCCGAGTAAGTTGAGTTAGCCTAGCCAGCTAATAAGGCCTATCCGTAGCTGTTTGCCGTTAGAGGACGGATGAAAACATGCAAAGAAACTTACTTATTCTGGGTTCGTACATCTTTTCTGTCAGTCCTAAAGGATTTGGCTACTTCTGGAGAAGAGAACGGACTCTGGGCTCTTTCTGTCTGGTCGATCATCAGCACCATTTTGCAAGGGACTGCAAAAGCAATCGCCTCCCCCGCAGAGCAGAGCGGAGCCCAGTCTCCTCCGAGAAGTTTAGGCGAACTCCTCCGGCGAAGTCCTCCAAGGGGTTAAATTTGGGAAGGAGGTCCTATCCGGGAAATGTAACAGAATAGAAAAGAAAATGAGAAAATCGGGGAAATGTCGCCCTCTTCTTTCGCAATGGGGAAATTCCTGAATTTCGAGCACCGTCTCGCTGGATAAAGGCCCGTTTTGACGGTCTGGAAAGGGCTGCGTTCCAATAAGGGTACTTATAGTGTAAATAGAGCCCTTAGATTCAGTCCATCCAAATGAGCAGCGTTGTAGGATCCTCACAGTCTTAACTGCCAGCGGCTGAGCTTTCTTCATTCATGAGCGTTGATGGCTGATGGTTCTACATAGAACGAATAAATGCATATCTAACTAGGGGGCGTGTCTTAAATCGACTCCACGATTAGTATGTTGTGAGAGGTAACGTTAGCCGTTTTCTAGGGTTTTATTTGTCTATTTATTTATTTATTACAGATGACCATATATACACAGATAGAAATAACAGTAGGATACATAACATCAACATTCACCTACCAGAATAAAATAAGAAAAAAAAGAACATCACTGGGATTCAAATAAAACTAAAAAGCTTTAACACAGCAATGGACTTACAAAATGGACTTTTGCTGCTGGCGCAAATTCACTATTATAGATGTGGGTGCATACAAAGGTCCTGTATGAAGGTATTTTTCTGGCAAATATCTTATGTGTATAAAATTCAGCTATTATTACAATCAAGTGTATTATAAAGCGCTCATCTGGATTAAACAGAGGGTCATCAAAAAGAAGTAAAACATAGTGGCTTTTAAGGGGATTTTCTTTACCACGTTTTCTAGGGTGTTGCGTGTGTCAGAGTGGTTTAATGAAACGTCCTTTCGTATGTGCTGTACTTGATCTGCAGCCCATCGCCTCACTAAATATAAATATATATATTGGCAGATCTGACTAGTATGTGGATCCTCATGGCTACCAGATTGGCCAAAATCAATGAAAGTAGATGGAAAAATAGGAAAAATTCTATTTGAACTAGTTTAACTCTTTCAACTATTCAGTCTGAGTTGGGGTGTTATGGAATACAGCTATGAGGATAATAAGGATAGAGGATAATAATTATCTAATTAATTAAATTAATTTTGTATCTAGGAATACAGAAATTAAGTATCTGTATTCTGGCTGTTTATGAACTATTCAGAATCAGCAAGTATGCTTGTTAGATGAATTCAGAAGAGGACCTCTTTTGACAGCCTCTTCACAGACACTGAAGTTCCAACTAAAGCTTAAACAGACTGATAAATCAATGTGTAATCAGTTATTAATCTCAGTGTTACTGAGCTCTGTTAAAGCCTGAGTAGACTGATAAATCAATGTGATGAGCCAGTTATTATTCTCAGTGTTACTGAGCTCTTTATAAAAGGATTGATCAAACTAATACTCTTCTCAGTCCTGGACATGTTTGCAAGTAATAATTTTAGCATCACTGTTGTACTGGACCTCTGCTCAGGGGATTATAGGAGGAGCATTGGACTGTAGCAAGTAGTGAGAGACAAAAAAAGTCACTTTTTTAATGATATGGAATTTTTCATAAAATTAATCACATGAAGAAAACTGCCTACCAGTAACAATGAGGAGCAGTATGAATTAAGTGAAAAAAGGTTTTCCCATCTGCCTTACCAAGAAGTATTGTATATCTATTCTTCATGTGCTCTGAAAATGTTACTTTTTATGTGTTGTAGTAGAATGAATTACTGAATATGTTCAGGACCGTGTATTCAGTATTCAGCCACCATGACTTTTCCAAAGTATTTTGTCCAACACTGATCACAGTGCACTGGAACATTTGTCCCCTTATGACATCCCGCAATACATCTCAAATTGTACCACAAACAGGGTCCCATGTTGCACTGCAGCTCAAACCATCTACAAAAATGTAACTCAAATGCATTCAGAATTGTCAACCACTCCAACGTGTGTATCATTACTACTTAAAATATCTACATTTTTATATCTGTAACCAGGTAATATTACATGCTTTTAATCTTCTGTTAGCCATTAGGTGCTTTGAGATATGTATAGTAGCTGGAATATTATGCATGTATATTGTTTAGACTTAATGTGTTTGAATTCTCCAGAAGGGTTGAGTGTCCCAAAATTCCAATAAACCCCCTTTTTACCCGATCAGGTCACTTACTTTTATTCTGTAGTGACTATGTACAGAATTAGGGGTTGATATGAGTATTAAATATTCTAGTAGGAATGCATGTACACATATTGGAGCACAGCCAACATTTTAAATGGACTGTTTTACACACAGTTTGTGCAACAAAACAAACCCCTGTTTGTTATGTAAATTCACATAGGCCAAGCAGTGCAAACAGAATTAAGCACTTTTGATAACCTCAGATAGACTACTCATTAAAATTCACACATCTCAGTTCATTAACAGGACAATAGGAAAAAGCTATGTGACAATTAACATAGTTCATGCAATTTACATCCTTTTCTATCTCTGCAAATTCTTGCCCAAACTAAATCTTGTGTTAGTAAACACTTTCTTTCTTTCTTTCTTTCTTTCTACATAAACAATAGATACTAAATGGCCTAAATATTATAAACAAAACTGGATTATCTTAAATTATTCCTGTAATTGTCTGTCTTTGATTGTAAACAAAGCCTATAGGTATAATAACCTAACTCAGGCCTCTATCTGAACATTTCTCTAAGCTCTAAACAACATTTTACTTGGGTGCCCCCACTGCAATAATATCATTTATTTATACAGAATTATTTTTATAGCAAAAAATGGAAGAACATCTCTGGCCTCACTAATATACTTTCATGTAGTACATGTAGGCGTTTTAACCAACTGCTGCACCACTTACAGCAAGAAACAGTCCTAGCCTGTCTTTTTGGAAGTTTATTACTCTTACAACGACATTTAATTCTGTTTTTGAGGCAATTTTACAAACTTTTGCATAGACAGGGATTTGAAAGTGTTAGAAACAAGAAGAGATGTAGTTCTATGTAACTGTAGGTCACGTTTGTTTTTGACTAGAAAACATTCCATCCTCTGAATCATTAATGTGGCCACTCACTGTTTACCACTTAGAAAACAGATGTGTGACTGAATCCATAATAGCCTAAACAATGAATAGACACATTAGGGATGTCGAATGCATTAAGAAGACGCTATTGTAGTGGTTCTTTATTAAGTGCATTAACATTCCACATGAGGCTTAAAGCCGTGGTCTATGTCTGTGTTAATGAACTTGCAAATGGCTTTGAAAATCCCAGACTCTTGACTCCACACCTCCATGTTTCCCTGAGAATTTGCCTGGGCGTATTCCCTCGGGCAGGCTGCACAGAATTACACGGGCATGTTCATGTGACAATCCAAGAACAAAGCAACATATTGTTGCTGTCGTATTGAAACATTATGGCTACACTTTTTTATTGTTCCATACTAGTGGGACATGCCAGCTGCCCTTTACACTATACAAAAATTTTATGATGAATTAACCAATAGAAAATGTCCAGCATAGTTGTATTAAAATCTCTTACATAAATTAATTTCCAGTCAAAATGATGGAATCACTGTCTTTAACAATTGTGTTACAGATGTGTATATTAAAGGATTCCAATAAAATTCTATGAAGAAATAAAGAAATTTTATGTGTGCAGAAATATGAACAGATCTGTCAATGAGTCCGCTGTGACTGAGAAAGCTGTAGAGCATTGAGAATTAAGTTATAAAAGTGTGACATATTTAAAGAGTTGATCAAATCTTGAGGCAGAAAATGTGTTAAGGAATTGTTGTAAATAGATATTTACAGTATATTATTTACCACTTAATAAAAAAAGAAATATCAAATAAAACACCATCTAGGGTCAAGCTTGTAGTATTTCAATCTGCACTATATAAATTATTCTAAATAAAATAACAGTTATTGATATGTCTAGTAATTTCAGACTTTAGAATTGTAATGTATACATTGTTAATATATAAAAGATTTCATTCCAAAACGCAGTTTAGACCACTTTCAAGAATTTTCTGTTTTTTTCCATGATAAATGTTGTTGGGAGTTGGCTATACACACAAGAAATATCAATGCTACATGATGATTAATACATGTTATTAAAGAAATAAAATGTGTTTTCTATCATATGTCAGCTGTTATTCTTTTCAAAAACTCATTATATACAAAATTGCTGCAAATGTATATACATCATTTTGGAACAAAACTCTTCGTGTGCACATTTAATCATACTTTAAGCCATTTGTTAGTTTTGTATGGATGTTTTTAAATTTGATCACATTTATACCTCCAACTGAAAGCATTGTATAGTTACTGATGCTATGGTTGATGCAATATATATCCACGCTGTGACTTTTTTACAGCTCCAATGAAAGAACAATTCTCTGATGTACTAGCAGTTAATATCCAGCAGAGGATGCTAGATATTAAGCTGTAGCTCTTCATGAACGACTGAATTCTCAGAGCTAAACGGGGCCTTCAGGCTTAATATATTCAGGGCTGTCATTATAAATGACTGAATGCCATTTGACATAAGATCAAAATGGACTTGTAAAAAGTGACCAACATAGCAAAACTTGTGTGCAAATTGGGTGCAAACTGTATGCAAAACTTTGCACCTAAAATAGTCACATAGACAAAGAAGATCTAAGCAAATTGCTCAAAGGCTTATACCTGAACCTGAACCAGGGTTTATCTGCCTAACTGTTTCCAGCTGAACACTTTTAGGCCGGTTTGTGACTTGTGTCGGAACATGTGAACATCTGAGGAATATTTGCAGAACCCCCATGCAACGTTAGCTTTTCAATCCTAATTACTGTTTCATCTCACACAGCCTCTGGCGGAGGTGTCGCTGTTGCCAGCATACATTGTGAAACGGGTCTGTGAAAGTGTGAAAGAGAAGGAAAGTAAAGGGAGAAGAAAAGTCCTGTCAGAGTTCATTATGTATCCAGGGAACAATGCTGAAAGTGGCAATGCAAGCTGCACTGCGCCGAGCTGCCATTAATCATGGCTGACAAGGAACCAGGGTTAAAGGTGGGAGAGCTGCCAGTGCCTCTGATAGTGATTATAGTGTAGAGAGAGAGAGGGAGAGAGAGAGGGAGCAGAATGGAAACACTCCTAGCAGCTCAGAAGTCTTTCGTATAGCATCGGCTACAGGCTGACGTTTCCATAATAAGGCCGCGTCCTAACCTTAGGAGTACAAAAAAATTGTCACAAACCCAGACGGATGGCAGCAAAACATGACATCTTTTGCAGCCACTGTTTTGATCCTTTAAGTACG